TCCACATTTCAAAAGATTGATGCAGTAAGTTATGCATCACAGTTAGGAATATGATTCTACTAGCGAAATTCGTTTTAAAATTGTTATTCATCTCCAAAAAATTTGTCAAGTAAGGAAGAATGCGGAAATTTATTAATAGATTCACTAAATCGATTTGGTGATAAACTCAGGTCAGATTGGAAGGACAGATTCCGTATATGGGATGGAACTTGATTGGGACGCAGAATAAATAGGTTAGTATAACGCAGGAACCAGTAGTATAGGTCAACCTATGCTGAGGACACAACAGGAACATTATAAAAGTGTGTGGAAAGTAGGTGTGGGGATAGAACAGCTCCTCAGATGGATCCATCAATCAATAACTTGAATCGAATGTTCATGATTGGTATAGCAACGAAAAAGAAAACATGGTTCTATAGAACCATTTCAAAAATGAGAAATTCGGCCAAAATAGATCTGTTACAAATCCACAAAACAGTATCGGGATGCTGAGAGTTATTTATTACAAATAACGGTAAGAGTATCAGTAAATTGGCTGATATACAATAAAATATCTCATTTGGAACAAGTCTTTGGAATTCCCACAAGCACACAGGATAATTAATCGAACGATCTGACAGCAAACCTGCAGTTATCATTTTGAACACGGCTATTCGCTCTAAGCGGTCTTGTTCATTTTTGACCGTTCAGAGAAACAGCAGTTCGCGTTATTTTGTACAATCCGAATGTACTACTCACAATAGATAATTGGTTTCCTGGCCACCCATCATATAAAATATTCATAGATTGTTATAGCCCCGACATAATAACGGTTTCAGTCAACCACAGTCTGTTAGAAAAAAGCATTCTGTTGGGGAAAGATGAATGCCCAACAAATTGGTTTGGGTTGTGGTGGCGCAGTGGTTTAGTCGCTGTCACCGGCGTGCTTTAGACCCCATGGTCCGAGGTTCGAGCACCGCCACCCGACTTTGGTGGTAGGCAGCTCTGCTGTCGTCCGGTTCAGTACCACACCCAACCCATCGGGGCCTTATGTGGTTGGTCACTCCAAGTCCCGGGGTTTAGCTTACCGGTTTCCATCACTGAACAGCAGGTCCTCGTCATTATGGGGTTCCACCCCGTCTGCTGTTCATCACACGAAGTGTAATAAAAAAAATTATAGTCTGGATGCGCGATTAGTTTGCCACTGTTTCAGTTTGGGACGAACGTCGAAATTTGGGAATTACCAGCGTTCCATCATCTGGACCTGTAGGAAACAATGACTTCATATTGCGGCAAAGCTTGAACATATCAAAATTCAATTATAACTTTGCATTACAAATCTCTTCAGTTGTGTGGAAATGAGCGTAGCTAGTGAATCAATGCAGAACCGACGGTGTTATTGACGAATTCCCATTCGTGATAGTCCACATTATACATACCATATGACCTAGTGCATACAAAAACTACGCAACGTGGGTTATAATGGAAAAACTGTCACGTTTTCAATCACTCTCAGGTCACAGATAATCTTTTTTCAGCTCGGAGTCATTTTCTACTAAAGATAAATGCTTGTCTTCAACCCAAGTGTTTAGATCATCGTTATCAGATTTGCTGCAATATGTTTTAGTTGTGTAATGGACTAGCACAAGGTGATTAGTAGTATTGGTGGTGGTAGTTGAGTGCACTTAATACAAACAGCTACGGTCACGGTCAAAAACCAGGCAAAACACATCAGTGGGACTGGGACGAAAGGTCAAGCACATTATTCACACGGGCAAACCCATATGCTTTGCGGTAAATACAAAGTTACTTAATCAATCGATACGATTCGTGGGGCAGACAAACCACGTGCATGTACGAGTATATAACAGACAAGTCTACAAAGGGATCATTTAGTATATAGTTGTCCGATTCGGAAGGCACTAATCAGTCCAATTTCATATTGCACAGGTATTTCCTTGCACTGGTTCTTGTGACTGTCTTTTGAAAGTATGGTTATACGAAAAAAACAATAAAGGAATCCTAATCAAACGTACTTTGAGGGCAGTATCAAATTTACTGCATTAATTGGAAGCACAATTTCCCCTTAACGCATTTGAACAGAGAATCCAAAACACAGATTTGCACTATGTATTCCGCATCATTGCGCCGCATCTGTACACATGCATACTACAGTTTATGTGACCGTTAAAATATATGGTCGGTAAATAACGTAATCATAGGCGGAGAAAGATTGTGGTCAAAAATACTCACCAAACACATTTGTTACCAAGGTAGCCTCAGAGTGATATGCCATTCACGCTATTTACACAACTGGGGATGATAATTTTGAATGGCTAGTGCCTCGGAGTATTTCAGAACCCTGGTGTTGTATACACGTGTACAGATCCATGATCCATGATACATTGTGCAAACCTGTGTTTTTGGCTTAGATATTCAAATGCTGCAGTATGTCTGAAAGCGCACTCCCAAGATCTACCCAATCGAGCATTTGATCCAGTACACTCTACCACGATTGTGTAGCAGGCAGGCCGAGGTAAGTGGACCAAACTGCAGTCGTTTCGCCTTAGCGCGGTACCTACACATTAACGGATACACTAGGATATTCGAGCTCTGAATCCTTCAATCGAGTGACCGAGCTACAAAGTGTGTTAGGATATGCATGCTCCTGGCGATACGTCGTTCACGAACCCTTGTTGTCGGTGGGGGCTGCTACTGTGGAATCGTTGCGACTCCTCGTTTACGATAACTGTAAACTCAGCTACACAACCACCAAAGACACGAGTGATTGTTCACGTGGTTGCCACCATTGGCTGAAAGATTTTTCTCTTCTTTTCAAGTTTTGTTTGCCATAACTACACACAGCAATGCAGTCGCAGCCACAACTGACAAAAAGAATAGGCAAACAGCCGATCGCTGAGGTGCACTTATGCCCGAATAAACATTGTGGCTCAATGAGTTGATTACTGGAGTCAGGGATGGGCTACCCTTGACCACCATTTAATGCGTATGTGCTGCACTGCACCGACGCAATCGATGTTTTCTCCACTGACCTCAGCCCGTACGTTACCCAGTTGAGTGGTAAATGCTCCCATTCAGATGATAAATTCGGGAAATTCCCCATGCGGGACAAACAGTTATTTAAAATGGCGAATATATGATGTGTTAGAAATACGCATAACATGAAGTATAAAATAACAGGTCGGATCACAGCGCTTGGGAGAGTTATACAAAAAGAACTGACGAAACACGTGGAACACCGTGAAATTAATCTATTGTCAAAGTTATAACGCAAGGTCTGACGAGATTACCTTTACAAGTAGTGTGAAAACCCGTGTAAAGACACTCAACCATATCTTCTGATGTCTTTAACTGTTGGTTAAGTTGATCGTCGAATTCTCACACCTCACGTAATCAAGTCCCTTGTTCAACATTTTCGTAAACTCATCGCAATTCATGATTTGGCCACTTAGTTTTTCTTTCAGCTACTACAGGTATTAAAAAGTTCCATACTACAAATAAGGTTGATCGTTAACTGGCGCAACATAAGATCGGACTACCATAATCCATTAAAATTAAGTAATTTTGTTGGTTTGCGACAGCGAATACCCTGTTCTATTCGTCCAAACGTGACCTAGGTTCTCCAGCTTTTTAACCTGAAACGTACAATACGACGTAGATGGCGGTGTTTCCACACCCAAAGTTTTGTTCTGCTTAATCTAGTTTTCTGTTTACCTTACATTCGACCTGTGAGTAATACTCAGATAATGTCATTCAGTTGGTTATTTCTGCATAAGCGTGGATGTACAGAATGTTTTAGAGTTGGGATGCGACCTTACGGCCTGTGGAAGTAATCCAGTCGCTAATATCCCGTGAGTCTCGACAACCCAGCAGATATCAGGAATAACAACCAGTTAGTTAAGGGAAAATATATTGTTCTCTTAAAGGTACCGTGAGTTGAACCTGACTACGCTTGACAGTATCTGAAAGCGAAAGGCTTAGCAAACGAAGTTGTGCACTAAACGCACGCACCATTCAAAGTGGAGTTACCCCACCGGAGGTGGCGGTAACTTAAACAAAGATGGAAGACCCAGATGAAGAAGAAGCATCAGGACATAGAAGATCCTGGAGGAATCCATGCTAGAAATAGAAGATAGTACGATCGAAAGCTCCAAGCAATCAATGCCTGCAAACATGTGAAAGCATACATGTGGAACAGGCAGATAAAAATGGTGATAGCTCTTGAACATGTTACACTGTCGGTCTGAAGCCACTACAGTTTCTTGTGCTTCTAGCGTGATTTGAATAAGAACAGTTAGGTCTTTTTGGCGGCGTGTCGTGTGCATTGGAAGTTGTTATTATTATCTATTAAAGATATCACATAAATAAATTATCTTTCACTAAGTCAACCACCCAAAGACTGCTATGCCACCTTTATTTATTTTGCCTCATCTAGTTGGTCAAGTCAATTTTAGCATATAGAAGGTTCACGGGTATTGAACGAGGATTCAACATAATCATAAAATGTTGTTTTGTTGATGGAATATTTCAAAGCCGAATGGCCACTTGTAGGTGCCAGTCAATTAGAGAGAGTTACCGCATCTCAGTTGAAATTCCGTATTGTTTTAAATAATCAAACCACCTTGGCAACTTACCATTCAGTGTGAATGATTCGTGTTCACGTCTCACTGGACCCTTGGGGTTCCTGGTGTTTGTACTTGTCCCTCTTTTCCAGATTGCTAATGAAATTTCTCCTCAGGGAACCTCCTGTTCGTCGATGGTTCCAGCCTAGGCGGAGACTCGGCCAACATTTGGCTGTTTTGGGCATTCGTTCGCAGCAGACATCCTGATGTACACTCGGGCCCAAGCATACCACATTGCCTTTCAGGCGACCACTCGCATTAGCCTCAAGGTCATCAGTGGCCTAATTGTCAGGTGATCAAATGAGCAAGCAATATAGTTCAAATTTCTTCCGCTGCAGCGAGTGACAGCACCCGTGTTAGGACACGCCCAAATGCAACATGACTCAGCAGTTGTTTACCCCATCTGAATGTCTCGCTTTGTTGGCTGTGTTCAGTGATGCTTGCCGAGAAGTTGATCTGTTATTAAATATCGGCAAACAAAATTTCCACGAAAAGAACACACTGGGATCGCGATGTTCCCAAGCCAACAGCGATACCTTGCTGACTGAACTGAACAAAATTTTCTTCCAAACTCTTTTGCGCTATGAGAAAGCCAGGCGTGAAGACTATTTGGAATTGCCAGATGGAACATTCCGCAAACTGAACGATGAGGAGAGTATCAAAGTGAAATATTTGGAAATTGTATCCCGTGTATCAGCCACACTGAAAGCGCTTCTACTGGAGATCGACGAAACGGGAACGATCACTGCGTTGGAAAAGTATTGCAGTCAAGAACAAGCCGAATTGGAAAAGCTGGAAACGTTTGTCAGTTCAGCGGCCGAGAAAGAGCAAGATTTGGCGCGTCTACAAGAAGATGTTCAGGCCTTACAACGGGAAATTCTGAGTGACACAATCGAGTACACAAACACAATTGAAAATTTGAAACATGAATTTCAAGAACTACGAGAAATGGCCTGCATGACAATACAGTATAAATCAAAAGAGTATGCGACAAAATTACAAAGCGAACTCGGACGTCAAGCGAATGAAATGAAAGAACTATCTGGTCGTGTGGAACATGTGAAAGCAGTTATCGCACAGGTCAGTCGTGTGGCTGAGGAGACCAATTCTTGGCTGTTCACCGATATCTCGAACAAGATTAATCTTGCCGATTTCATACCCACGAATGATCACCCGGCTATCCTGGCCGAAAAAGTGAAACGTATCAATGCACAGCTGGAAGAGAAAAAAGCCTTGCACGAAGAACTACTCAAACAGTACGAAGAATGTGAGGCGATTTGTATGGCTGATGAAAGAGAGAAGGAGGGTGCTCATCTGCGCGAGGAATATGCGAAAAAATTTGTCCTTGCCGTTGTGCAAATCCAGTCATGGTGGCGTACAATGATCGAGTTACGTGGTATTCGCACTCGGAAGAAACGTAAGGGGAAGAAAGGAGATAGGAAAAAACCGGGATAAATGAATTCAAATGGGGGCCAAACTATTCCTGTCTGTCGAACTAGCAGTAGGGATCCACGTTGAGTGGTTGCCTTTGTCTGCATCTTTTGTCTATCAGCAAAGGGTGAACGAAATACCCAAAGCATTCTTCCCAACTTCTTCATGGCTTTCATTGATTACAATCTACTATGGATATATTTATACCAAGCGAGAGCAATAGATGATAAGTTGGAGCATTGAGCAGTCCAAATTCGTCTGATTTCTCAACCTGAATATTGATTCAGTGTATCTTTCACTGTGGAGAAATCCATATCCCACTCCGTTAAGCGATCCTAAGTGTTGTTAGTCTATACGAATCACGATGTTGCATCATTAGAGTGTGAGTGCATGTTAGAAATTTTGAGACTGGTATTCAAAACTATCTCGATAATTTGTTGCTTTCCCTGTATGCTCAACTGCTAGAAATGTGAGAAGAGATGTGTTGCAAGAATAGTGAGTAGATGCATGAACGCCATTGTTTGCATCATCCAGCCATATCGCTCAGTGTCTCTAACCACCGGTTACCGAGATCTCGTGGTTCCCAGCAAAGGAGCCTAGAGGAATCGCACTGGGATAAGCAACATTGAGATGCAGAAATAAGGCCACAGTAACAGCCGTTAGATTATTGGGGGAAACTTATTCTACATGCAAAAACATTTTGTTTTCTCAAAAAATATCCAATCAGCCTCCGCGTTTTTGCTGCCACAATTGGCTGCGCTGTAGCTGATCTCATTAGTTCTGATTGCCCGCTTGCTATTAGTCAACAGGAAATGGTCAAGAGCATTTACTCGGCTAGCATTATATAGTAGCGTTGGATGATGTCTAATTATCGGTGGCAATTAGATCCAAATTCGTTTACCTATACTCTCCGAATTTACAAAATCGTCCTATTTTCGTCGTTTTTAGTATCTTCACCAAGTTTCATACATTGTTATTATTATTATTATTATTATTATTATTATTATTATTATTATCGTACAAGAATCCAGTCACCCGTAGCCTTGTTACTGAAACAAATTATATACTCAGGGGATGTTCAGATCATGGCTGGTCGAAACTCGTGGAATTATCACAATCGTTTGATTCATATCGGAAATGAGTGACGTGAAAGGAAAAGCGTTATCTCAGTTTACGATTTGGAGATCCGTAAGTTCATTTCGCAATATAAATTTAATCGGGAAAATATGGTTGGTGTATTTTTGTGGGAGAGACTGAAGGAGAACCACTTTTGATGACGACGACGATGACGCTAATAATTTTGATAATAATAACAATAATATTACTGGAATGAAATGCTCCAAATTAATCGTGTACTGACGGATCATAACCACCAACAGGCTATTATTAGGACAAACGAAACAGTGTCTCAGGTTCCGTTTGCAAGACGGGTTTCATGTTGTCTATTGTTTACGTGAAAAATTTTGATTGGCAATCCAGTGCTAGTTGGAATTGTACAAGAAAGCTCCACCAGTTGCACGTTGTGCGTCGATTCGATTGAAGACGGGTAGACTATTGGCTTTAATCTCTACTAGTAGTACTAATAATTCTACTACTATTCTCCCAGTGAACCCTGGCTTAGGCGCGTCAAAAAGCTTTGCATTTAAAGTATTCCAGCTACCTTGGCCAAAAACAAAACTGCACAAAATGAACGTAACAAAAGGCAAAAAATTATTAGAAAGGTGAGGATTTTAGTAATAGTTATCTTTATTTTTTATTTTTACACGTTAGTTTCGGACATTTACGTCGTCTTCATTGTTTAGGCGGACCTCTACCGAACCGATTTCCAATGTACCTCAAATTACAGATGTCAAAGATGTTGCAGTCAGAAAAAAATCTGTTTGACTTCCCCGAATTGAGTACTGCTTTAACTTATTACTTCATAGTTTTCTTTCTGTCAGCAATCCGTCACTGTCTCCATAACAGTACATTCTATTTTCACTCATTAAAAGAATTTATTCATCTACATTTGATAGTAACTGTTCGTCATCATATATTTTTAATAAATGATTATCTGCGGTTCGATCATTAAAGTACCTTCAAGTCCTACCCTTTCCGATCAAATTGTTGATGCATTCATCAGAGTACAGCTTTAAAATTTTGTCTTTTATGCCTGAATTCCTTGCAATAGCTACTTTTTTCTTCTAAAATGAGTTGTATTTTATCGCACTCAGACAACAAGGGTTCACTGCTCCACCATAATTTCTGCTTGTCTTCGAATAAAAGAATGTCATTTCGAGTAGGCTTGTCAAAGTTTTACCACTTTCCGGTGGTACCCTTCGTAAGCACATCAGCAAGTGATTAGGTCATCAAAATGTGACCCGGAAGTTCCGGGTTCGAACAGCCACCCGTCTTCTCTATTTTCGTAATTCCCCAGGCAGCCTTTGTATGTCCGCAGCCCCCTCCCTGAAAGTTGATTGTACAATTGTATATTCAATAAATTGAAAAGAAAGTAAAAAGACACGAAATAAAAAACTTGTTCTTTGTGAAACGAGATTTGCAGTAAAAAGCCAACCAATGTATGTGAACATTACAGCGTTTACATGTTATTCATCTACCAGATCTGAATACTGGTTTCTTGACTTCCGAACAATGGCATATTACGAGCAAAATTCTATCTTCTCATGAGAGATAACTTAACAAATATTCTTTGCTAAACAGCTAATTCGAGAACTCTTTTCAACAGCCTAATTTTATTACTACTACTACTATTTTTTCTACTTTCGGGATAACTGTATTGACCTATATATATATATTCAATGAAAGATATGCTGATGAAACTCGTGCTGAAAATCGCGACCCGTTGAAATAGAAAAAGGCAGTTTCTCAATGTTACCTAAGTGAAGGCTAAGCCTAGTTTAATACTTTCTTGGAATTCTCCTCAAGCCTTGTTTAAAGCATGCACGGACCACTGAGATGTTTTTCCCAATTATGTTTACAATTCACAAGCAATTATCGGAGCAGGACAACTAGTTGTATTTGGTACTCGTTCACACCGTCGGAGTGGGTATAAAGTGATTTTTCTGGGTTATGGATGTCCGTGTGTGGTGAAAACCAGTCATCGGGCTTCATCACTGCTCACATGGAGTTTCCATCTGATGCCAGTGGGGCCTGGAGCAAAAACTGAAAGCCATCAAGTGTCCCTGAAGTAATGGGGCCAGATTTCGCTACACTATGAGGCAAAGTACTTCAGTTCCTAGAAAAGATCGGATGACTTTTGAGAGATGGGCAGATGTCCTGGGGGTGTCTGTAGAAATCGAAGTAGGTACAGATTGTGATTCACGAATCGTGGTCACAAACGAAGTACAGAATCGCAGTGGTAATCGTACACTGGAACCTCCCGTCACCGAGGCACAGGAAGAAGGCCACAAAAGCAGCAGTTTATTTATTGACGGAATTCAATGGGGTTAAATAATATGCAACTACAAATATAATTGATCAAATGGATATCAACTAGTCACCGTTCTCTTTCTTCGACTCACACCCGTTTTGTTTGCACTGTTTAGCTTTTGAGTTATTGATACTGATGACCCCAGGTCCAAAGTCCAGAAACTGGAACGCATAGGCCTTTGGCTGGCGTCAGCTCGAAGGTTGACTAACCACAGTGCCTTCGGTTGGAAAACGCTAACTTAGTGCTGAAAATTCACTGAGCCGGACAAATACGTCCCTTTCAACCCCAACAATATCCAGTGGTAACACCCACATTATGAGGTAGCACAGTAAATTAAAAGCGATGTCGTAATAACTCATCTGCATTGATCTGCATTTTTCTTCCTTCAATTATTTGTTACTGCTGATATAATCTGCAGTCGTATCAACTCTTCGCTTGGGGGTAGAACAGTGCACGAGTCTGCCAAACAGAAGGTGCCTCAAGCTGTTCCCCAAGGTGATCGACTGTTCCGTAGAATAGGAAATCAGCGGGTCACCGTCAACCGCAGCACATCTATCAATGATGTTCCTTATCGTTTTGACCACGCATTGTACTTTGCTAATCAATTAACTCCGAAAGGGGTCGGTAATAAGGTGTTCACAGTGAGTACGCTTATGGAAGTGGATGAAGTAAGTACTGTGAAATGACCGACCATCGTCCGATGGTAGTAGATCAACTTCAAAGATGTTGCTATGGTTTGAAAAGGGCTCACAGACTAGTCATTTGTCTCCTCATAAACATACCCACTGTCACCGCATCCTATGATGGATTCGGTACAGTATGCAAGTTCATCAATTTTTTTCGTTTGTCATTTGTCCAACTGTTCACAAATTTCGTATTTAGAACCCATTTATTTTATCTGTTTTCACTTCCCCTACTCGTGGGATATCCGTTAAAACCATCGTGAGTGTACGTTGGCTAAAGCATCAAGTTTTGTCTTGTGGAATTTGGAAGCACCACTCGCTACGAAAAACCCAACTCGTCATCTACGGCAGGTCACTTCGGAACTTAAAAATGGCTGATGCTTACATCGGAAGGTTCCGGTCAACCGTGAGTCATGACTTCTTTTAGTTCTTGTAGGCTCCGTTCCGCAATTATGGCCTGACGCATTAGAGATATCCCGAGCTCCGTCACTCCTACCGCAATATTCAAAGTCTCGAACGTCTGCCATTGACTAGTTTCAGTGATCATATCAGACAGAAAACACAATACAGTACCTAGAAATCGTAATGGCGGTTGAATCAGGGAGTGAAACTGTTATCTGTCCTCCAAAATCTACCGATACCGAGGTGCAAAAAAAGACAGAAGTAGAGGTTTTTTAACCGAAAGAAATCAGTGAAGTTGAAAACTTTGTACAAAGAGTCATCGTTGATTGAACGTGTATTAGCCACGTTATTCTCGATACAGGACTTCTGCTTGAACAGTTTGGCTTTTGATTGGTCTAGACTGGTGCCCTCTGATTCGTTGTCGTGAAACCGTGACGCGCATCTCCTTGTCTGACATTATTGCGGAGGGTTGTGTCAGCAGATCTGTCTGGGACGACATGACTCGTGTC